AAATTTGTTAGTCTCTAAGGTGCCACAAGTACTCCTGTTCTTTTTGCTAATAGCTGTTAGCACAGAGAGCCCACCCCATCAGCCAGTGAATTCTGTTAAGCAAGAGAAATCAGGGTTTGATCCTTCAGGACAAGGAGGAAAGAGAGAACTGAATTTTGCAAAGGGCAGCCACAGGGTAACCCTAAAACTCCAAAACCCCAATGGTATTGAGCCAAAGGTGTGGCATGAAAAAAATGATTGTAAATGGACACTTGCAATGGATTTGTTGTTATTGATAATGGTGATTTTTGTAACTAATGTGTTGCTATTACCAAGAACTGTAAAAATGTACAATGTGCCTAATCTTTTGGGAAAACCCTTGAACATATTAAGAATGATACATAAAAACACACTTTGTGTTAAAAGGCCTTGTAATGCTGATGTTGCACAGTTAGTACCTGTAAACAACATTGGAACTTTTCACAGAAGAAAAGACATTCCAGACCTGACGTGCTGTATGAAAAGGGAAACTGAGGCATGCTACCATATTGCTTTCATGGCTAAATGCCAAGATTCCCGTACTATTGACAACATTAATATCTACATTGTCTTGATGTTAATTGGGTTCCAAACATTTGCCAGAGCTTGTATGAATAAAGTAGCTGTGTCCTTTAGCTCTTGGCAAGATCACATGAGACATACAGGAACCATGCTGCAAGAGCAGATCCAATCCACTATTGTTCTAACCAAGTTTTACCTTGAGTTTGTAAAGAGATTCAATCATGTTATTGAACATGACTTTGATAAACCATTTCTGTTATACACTGGTACGGCTTCTAACCCAATAACAGCTGTAGTGAGACAGACCCAAGGATGGGGAGCTCTTGGGATGCAGTCAGTGATGTTTGTGTCATCCCTTTCTGCATCCATTGTGCATCGGGGGTGTGACGTTATTGACATGAACTGGGACTGTATAGATCATTGTTGCAACCAAGGTCCTATAGTGGCACCCAAATCTTGTCCAAAGGGGGTCAAGGAAGGTGTCTATGAAACGGTTATGATTTGCTGGTTATGATTATGCTGTCTGTATGTGTGTATCAGTTTTGTATTTAAAGTTATGAATATTGGCTCTGTACTTGTATCTCAGTGTGTTTGATTCTAAGTAGCACCAGTGAAGCAATTGGGCAGCTTCTTGAGAAGGGACTATTCTCAGTAAGTGCCCAATCAAGAAACACTTAACGGACAATGGACCTTGGGAGACTCCAATCCACATATGAGGAGCCTCCCTGGGAACGTTCAAGGGAGCATGTGAGCAATGGCTGCTCTACCTGCAAACTGAGTCATGCATGGACATGTGACTTGCCCATGTGACTCCAAACTCCACCTGGCTGCTGTGATTTTCCACAGTAAGAACAAAGTGGTCTTTCCACATGGTAGAGGATATAAAAGGCCCTGGAAACCCCTCCATTTTGTCTTCAATCCTGCTTCTGACCTCTGGAGGAACCTTGCTACAAACTGAAGCTCTACACAAAGGACTGGATGACCCATCCCAGCTGGGGATGTTCCAGAGACTTGATTTGAACCTGCAGTTTATTCTTTCTCTGCTACAAGCCTGAACCAAGAACTTTGCCATTCCTGTATGTCATTGATTCCATTTAACCAATTCTAGCTCTCATCTATATCTGTTTCCTTTTATGAATAAACCTTTAGATTTTAGATTCTAAAGGATTGGGGACAGCATGATTTGTGGGTAAGATTTAACTGGTATATTGACCTGGGTCCTTTGGAATCAGGAGAACCTTTTTTCTTTTACTGGGGTATTGGTTTTCATAACCATTTGTCCCCATAACGAGTGGCACTGGTGGTGATACTGGGAAACTGGAGTGTCTAAGGGAATTGCTTGTGTGACTTGTGGTTAGCCAGTGGGGTGAGACCAAAGTCCTCTTTGTTTGGGTGGTTTGGTTTGCCTTGGTGTGCAAAGGAACCCCAGCCTTGGGCTGTGATTGCCCAGCTCTGAGCAATTTGTCCTGAATTGATACTCTCAGTTGGGTCCCACCAAAGGCCGCTTCATTACACCAACCAACCCCAGCTACTAACCCAACCCAACCACCATTCCCAACCAACTAACCCTAACCCAACCCCAGCTACTAACCCAACCCAACCACCATCCCCAACCAACCCACACCA